TGGTGGTTCTTTGGTTCATATGGATGGCGAGAAACAATGTTAAATATGAGAATATTATGTTTCATCCTAATCTTACTGTTTCTAATATTCCTGCTCATTTTCAGAGATCTTGTCGGGCTCTTTGTTTAGCCAATGATATGGTGTTGACGAGGTTGGGTAGGAGGGTCATTTTCTTTAGATGGCAACCCCCACCTTTGGATTGGGTTAAGTTTAATATTGATAGTAGTTGGAATTTTGAGGAATCATGTTGGGCAGTGTCTGTTTTAATTTGCATCTTCTTTTTTTGCCTCTCTAGAGGCTGAATTTTGGGCTTTATTGTTAGCCTTGCAGGTTGTTGCACAGCTTAAGATATCAAAAATTATTTTTGAGACTAATTCGCAAATACTTTTTAATGAGTTTTATAAGACTACTGGGCCTAGATGGGATTTGCTTGTCATTACGAATCAAATTCGTGATGTTATTCAAAGATACAATTTAACTATTCTTCAGTTATCCTTTATTTGGGAAGACAATTCCTCAGTTAATTGGCTTGCTAATAAGGGTAGAGTGGCTACCGAGGTATTTTATAGGATTCGTCCCATACCGCAGCTTAAATATTTTATTATGGGTGACTTGATTGAGCTCCCTTTTATCAGAATTTAGTTGGTTGAGCTCTCTGTTTGGAATCGATTTTTACCTGGAGCAATTTTTCTTCTGTTTGTATGTGTCTTATGGTTTTAAGAATATACTCTCTCATCAGATTAGAGACATCGACATTGAGGATTAAGCTGAAAATGAGTTTATTGGTTGGTTCGAGCATGGGATTAATGTTTTGGCAAATTTCTTTTGTGACAATACTTATTTATGTTGCACTGTGCATTGGACCATTTACCCATTTGATTCTGGAATGTTATTTTCACCCTTGTTTTATTAATAGTCTTGGTTCTATGTCATACATTCTTCATGATACTTCACATTTTTTTAGCTGGAAACTATGCACGCTTGGAGCTTATGGCTATAACTCTTTATGCCCCTATGCAGCTCTCATTTATGTTTGTACCAACTGTTTTATATGTTGGTTCGTTGTGGTGTTTTGGATATCTTTCTCGCAGGTTACTAGGCTGGCGATACAGATTTTTGGGCCACCTTCCTTGTGCAGATCTTTTCAGGTTGCACATACCTAGATTACCAGAACCCTTTTGCTTGAGATCTTACTCACCTGAATGACTGTTGGAAGCTCTTATATTATCCTTTTGTTGTTCGAGATCGCTGAGTTTTTGTCCTTTGTCTACACGTCGTTTTGGGTATACTTTTCTTTGGTATACTATTTTGAGTAGCATGTATTTTTGGGTATACTATACCATTTTGTTTCCCTTTGGGTGGAGTTGTATTGTGGAATGGGGAACCCCTAGGACCTTAATGTATTTTTTGCTTTTAGATGGGGATCCACTTTCCCTTCCTTATTTTGTAACACCTTTCTATATTAACACGTAAGGAGCCACGAGCTGCTCTTTTAAGTAATATATATATATATATATATATATTTAAAAGTCTGAGGGCAAATATATTAATACGAAAAAGATACAGAAATGTTGTATAAGAGGACCTAAATGAAAGTCTAACTCATACAATACAACACACACCAAATCCAGATAAAGCAAATATACAAAAAGGTAAAAAATCAAAAAGCACAAAAGTGCACAAAAGTGCTAGAGACGTCTCACTTTAGTTTTCTTCCCTCTAGTTCTCAAAAGTGAGCCGGCTAACAAAATGGTAAGGTGTGTACCATTGCCCGTATTAACCAAGCTCAAGTAGATCTTCATTCTTCTTGTTCCTCCTAGATATGTAGACTTGTCATTCCTCATTCGATGATTGACTCATCTGATCAGTAGATTCCAAAGGTGGTCGGATAAGTGTAGGTCGTTGCACGTCTTGATCCTCATGAGCCTGAGTAATATTAACATCTTTCTGGACCTAATGAGGCGGTTGTGAAGCAGCAGACCTATCGGCGATAGTTTATATGATAGGCGGGGTCTAAAGAAACTCTCTCTCCCCCACGATAGGAGGTTCCAAAGACGAGGGAGCTACAACTGGGGATTGAATAGTTGTCATATTGTCTGTATGATCAGGAAGAGATGGAATCACACCCTCTAGCAGAGCAGAGTTTGCTTTTTTATCTGAGTTGGGGGTGTAGATGGTGACATTGAGAACTAGAGTGTCCGAATATACGACAGCTCGAACAATGCGACGGAAAAGATTCAATCTCTACCTTCTGTCAATATCTCTGGTGTTGTGTGCCCAACCAGATTTCCTCAGATGCAGGTGAAGTGATGTCTCATTCAACAAGTACTCTAGCTTTAGAAGGACGAGACAAATTAAGGTAGGAATGTCCGTTTTGAGTGGCTTCTCATAAGCTGAGGCAATAGAATACAATAATTTTTTATAAAAATAATGAAATTTCAAACCATAAAGGCGAATCCAAACCGGAATGATTGGCGGTTCCGTCTGTAGGTCAAAATCCACAAACCTTTCAGGATCTTCATTGCCAATCTTCATTGATCTGTTATCAATTCATATTATCCTTCTAGCAAATAAGCGCATATAATTTTCTTCATTGCTAATTTGAATAAGAGCGTCTCTCATCTAATAATCCAATTTTTCATTCTCCAACAAGGTGCATGAGTTCAAATACTTTACAAATGAACTCCATTTTAGGATGTCCATATAGAAATTTCCCAACCAAATTCAGACGACAGGAGGGAGCAAGTTGAATACCTTCAGCTTCTGTAAAAAAGATGGTGGGCTTCCCATTCTTCCTATCAGGTTTCCTAACGTCCTCCGCCCACTCAAACGAAGGAAGGAAAGATGATGATTTTGGTGTGTCTGAGGCGTGGACACCGGCAAGGGCAGTTGCATATGATTTATCCGAAGCCATCCTCAAGGATAGACCTTTAGAGAAAGAGAAGAAAGCAGACGAGCAACGAAATAGCCGAAGCTAAAAAAAGGGGACGACGCGGTGAGACGGGACGAGGGCAGAGAAAGCAGGAATCACGAACAGTTCCCGCGAGATTGAGCCGAATAAGCGAGCGGCGAGACGGGTCGCAGAGGAGCAGAGCGCAGAATCGAGCGGGAGACGAGCCCCGTCTCAGAGCGCGCCGGAGGAGGAAGAAACGGGAGAGGCG